TTCCGCGACCACTTCCAACGCTTTTTGTTGTACATTCCGACTTCTTGTGTAGTTGTGCGACTTTTTGTCGCAGAAATTGTATGTTTTATGGACTGCTACTTTTAAACTACTGCGTACAGTCTTTAGTATCACGAATGCTATCAACATTAAATTTGAATGAATTGTATGACACAAATAGGTACTAGTAGATGGACCGAAATGAAACTAGACATTCATAAAAGGTCTGGATTAATAAATAGTATATATAGGAATAATAATATCTACCAGAGAGATTGTAAAACATATTGTTTATTAAAAAAAGTAACGAATGGAGTTTTTGATTGTTTTTCTCCTTTCGAATCTACATTTTGGAATAAGCACCTAGCTTCACTGACGGACTGACTGGCAGACTATTATTTATATTGTATTTGTTGACGTTTCAAAAGTACAACATTATGGTTTAATTAAAATAAATGGTTTGACTTTACCTTTCTATCCTTGTAATGGCTAAGTATATTAAAGTAATAAATGTTTAAAAGATAGGCACACTCGTAAGATACAGTAATAGATTGATCGATCAAATTAAATTCACATAGCATGATGGATAGTAAAGTTTACATAGGTACATACATACAATGATGCATCTCATTCAGTACCTTACATTATTATAAAATTCCCCCATTTTCCATTTTCCCTCAATATTACAAAACTGTTCAATATAAAAAGCGCTCGGTGTGCACACTCCCTTTTCAAAATCGAAAATTGTCTTGCAATCTTTTTCAAATCAAACCTTTAACGAATTTTAAACTTTGTATCTGGAGTTTAGGGTTGATTTTCTGCTGTCGATGTGGCACGTTGAAATGGACATTTTACATGGAAAAATAAAAATGTCTGCGTGTTTTATCTAAAGCGCAATGAATGGCAAATGCAGCGCCGGATTATTTTACATACAAGATAGCTTCGGTAGGATCGCTACTATTATTGCGATCCGATTTCAGTAAATCTATGCTTGGAATTCTTTAATAAAGAAGTAATTTTTGTACACAAACACAGAACGATTGAAGAACAATGGATTTGACATTGTTTGCATTGCAAAATACTTAATCTTGTGAACACTAATTAGCCATGCTGACAGGATTCTTTAAAAAGTTTTTACAAAATCAGTTGCTAAAACTACCCGGACACGACCAGCTCCAAAACTTGAAACAACAAGAACCGGTCTTCCAGCAACTAATTAAAAAGTTGAAACAAATAAAATTTTAATAAACGCCAAAAATATAAATATTAAACCGCAACATTATGAATAGAAAGTCCGAAGTTGCGATAAATAACGGTTTTACTCGTCCCGGGGTTATCTTTTAAAGCGCACAGGCGTTGTTAAGGAGCGCCGTAAATTTAATTTTATTGCTTAAATACTTATAAAATTTTACAATTGTACCTACTGAAGAGCGTAATGAAAACACAGCTAGATAGGGCCTCTCTAATATCTTGTTAAAATTCGTGGCGTGTGCGTAGGGACCTATTTTTTTGGGCACCAAATGAAAATATTAAAGGCTAAACTCTAATTGGAGTGTAATTGTGACCACTAGGGGTTAACGAAAGATCCTCGAGATAGAATACGGCCTTTGGAGATTTGTTCTGTTAAATAAAAGAATTAGTATTGTGTTTATTTTACTCCGTAGGTATAGCTCTTTTTTCATTCTAAGATTTGACACCAAAAAAATTATGAATCCCCAACCATCTTCAAACTCCTAATCCCCAAAAGGCCGGTAACGCATTGGTAACGCCTCTGGTGATACAAGTGTCCATGGGCGACGTCGATTACTTAGGTACCATCAGGTGTAAATAAAAATATTCATAAGGTTTTACAATGGCCCTTAAATTCGCAGTTATTTCAACAATCACCTCATACTGACTCACTATTCACTTATAGTAAGAGAGAGAGACAGGAAGCATGCAGTCGCAGTCCCCTCGTATAATATTCATAACAGACGTTGTAGTTCTGAACTGCGATCTGAATACAGCGCGTGGTACAAAGTGTTATGTGTATGGAACAATTCTTGACATCACACAAACGTATGGTGGGTTTATGTTTCATTAAAAAAAATCAATTATAGTTCCCTATGTCCTTTTCTGTACTGATAATATGCTAAAATACAAGAAGATCGGTAGCGTATATAAGACGTAGAAGGTAACAAATTGATTAATACTAATAAGTATATTAAAAATATCTTCTTGTTCTAAGAGTGAAATTTTAGAAATAACCATGTACGTTATGTATGTATATAAGTAATAACATAATTTGGTTGATAGTTAAAATGGACTATTAATAAAATGAACTTTAAATAATTCGCTATCAGTTTTTCACTTGTACTCTCCCTCATTTTTATTTCATACCCTTGTGTACAATAGATCATATTTTATAAAAATTTAAATCCCACTTTTGGCACAATTTGAACAAGAAGCCAGCGAATATGAAGCGGCTGTGGTTCACTCAGTAGCTGCGGGTGTTGTTTACACATGTGCTTTCTAAGATTGTTTTTGAACAACATCTGGCTTATTGTATCTAGCTAGAACCAATATACATTTCTGAATGAATAATTTGCCTACTCTCTACTAATATTGTAAATTTAAAGACTGTTTGTTTGTTTGTCTGTTTACATTCCTGGTTACCTTTGACTCGATAGGTGAAGTCGTATTCGACCATTTAAAAAAATATCATAGCCTTACCTAATCATTACATCACGCCTTTTATCTGCCAAGGGCTAGAGGGCACATTATGACACTTTATGCCACATATAACACCCGCTTTACACTGTTAATTTTATGAGTCCCATGTAATAGGGACATTTCCAGACTGTGCTATTAATGATTTTTTTTAAACCCAGTCGTTCTTTGCCCGGCCCGAGAATCGAGCCCGAGACCCCTTGCCCAGCTGTCGCACTTACAATCACTCGGCTAACGAGGCAGTCATCAGATCATAATAATACAGTACTTTTAAATAAGAAAGTTATAAACTAACATAGATACATAACTTCACGCCTGTCTCCCAGGGGTAGGCAGAGACTAAGGAACGCCAATTACTACGATTCTTACATACCTCTTTCGCTTCATTAACAGTCATCAATCTTTATAAGCTAACTAATAATATAAATAAAACCCTTTATGATGCTACACGTTATAATACATTTACAACTTTAATTTTCATAAATAGAAATACCCTGTATAATTGACTAAACAAATTGCTCTTATGATAAAATCTAATACACATGAACTAGAACAATATAGTTTTAATTGTTGCTATCTTAAATACACATGATGGTTCTTGTATACAATAGAAAATTTCATAATAAATTTAGTTGGTATTTTTTTTTTTTTTTTTTTTTAAGGGGGGAAAATCATCGAATGACTGCTCCCGCCTGGGTGAGGCGGAAGGGGAGTGTCAGACTTTACTGACTAAAACCACCCGTTCCTTCTCTGCACGTCGAGCCGGAGCCCCGGTTACCCGTTAGGTTCTCCGCGACTCCGAATCGGCATCGGCCCTATTGGGCCCCATCTGTGGTGGTCTGATGGCTCTTTGAGGCGCGCGCGGAACGCGACGCGCCGTACGCTCGGGTCTGTTTCTGGTCGGACGGGGAGCCACCCATGCTCGCCGTCCGCAGGCCCGCGCTTACGGTGGCCGGAGATCGTCTCGCGATCCCCGACGCCCGGTGTGTCCTTCGCGATGGCTGGGTTGCGAGGAGGCAGCGCTTCGCTGCCTCACGCGTCCCGCCTCCTCCTTAGCTAGCATGACTGCTTCGCAAAAGGAGGAGACGGCATCCCAATCCCCCTCGCTCCGCATCATGGCCTGCACTAGGCCCGGACGCGAGAGGTCGCCATCGCCGATCACTTCCCTGAGGGCACGGCGGTGCTGAGCCCACGCAGGGCATTCTCCCACTGTGTGTTCCACCGTGTCCTCAGGGCGGTCCTCGCAGTGATGACACCCGGGCGTTTCCTCCCGCCCCATCAGACACAGGTACCTCCCGAAACTTCCATGTCCGGTGAGGACCTGCGTCAGGCGGTAGGTGAGGACGCCGTAGCGTCTCTCAAGCCACTCCTCAAAGAGGGGACTTACCGCTGCAATGGCAGCGAGCCCAGCCCCCGGTTGCGACAGTCGTTGCTGCCATTCCGCCATGAGATCGCGCCGGAGCTCATCCCGCCACGCACTTATTTGGCGCGGCAGCGGAGTTTCGCCCCGGCGACGTGCCTCCGCGCGCATGTTACGCGGCGGTAATCCGGCAAGGAGGTTCGCCGACTCCCCAGAGATCGTGCGGTATCCGCGGATCATTCGGATCGCCATGACCCTCTGTGACATGAGCAGCGTCCGAGCAGGACGCCGCAACAAGTTCGGCGCCCAAACAGGGGCGCCGTAGAGGGCCATGGACCGCACGACCCCGGCGTATAACCTCCGGCAGGAGGCGTTTGGCCCCCCAAGGTTGGGGAGGATCCGCTTAAACGCAGCCCCCGCCCTCGCCAACTTTGGAGCCAAACGTCGGAAGTGCTCCACGAAGTTCCACCGACTGTCGAGGACGAGTCCCAGGTACTTCATCGTCGTCTCGACGCCGATGGTAACCCCTCCCGCCATTATTTGGGACCCACCCGGAGGTGGCGCGTTCCCGCGGCCATGAAAACACATGGCCTCGGACTTGTGGAGCGCCACCTCGAGTCCCAACTGCCGGATTTTTTCAACGACTGTCGCAACCGCTGTCGCCATTAAATCGGCCGCCGCCTGGTGCGACCTCCCGTGCGCTAGCACCAGCGTGTCGTCGGCGTAGCATATTGTGCTAACGCCGTAAATTTAGTTGGTATATTGTCATGTAGAAAAGTAAAGAAGACGTGGCGTGGACAATTTACCTGCAGAGCATCTGGACCAATACATCGTCAGTCAGATGATCAAAGTAACAACAGTTCAACAATATAATATTATTGCCTGAATTGAGTTTGTATTAGTACACGTAACTTGGGTATCTAATAGTCTAATTTCATAACTTAGCTTCATTTCTTCGATATTTATCGTAAATTCGTTTCCACGTGTGATAAAAATCAGGGTTTCTCATCGAGGTCATCTCCAACGTATCGCCTATATTTAAGAAGTTCAATTGATCTTTAGTGTGGGGAAGCCATTTAATTGGAAACTCCCCTTTTGGTGATGGATCCCTGAAATAGAAAGACAATTTATTTGAATTCGTTTTATCAGAAATAGGATATTATTTCGTTTTATCAGAGATTACGGAACACCGATTTTTTTACATACATTTACATTTCTACATACTTTTTTTTAAGAAGAATGAATGCTCTCGCTTGGGTGAGGCGGGAGGGAGAGTCAGACTTTTACTGACTAAAAACCACCCCATTCCTTCTCCTGCACTTCGAGCCGGAGCCCCGGTAACCCGTTAGGTTCTCCGCGGCATTCCTACATACTATTTTCGCTTCAAGTTTCGTCGGTTAAGGGTTAAAAACAGTTTAAATTCAATATGAAGTTGTGGAAATAGTATGATGACCTAGACATACCTACTTAAATTTATTTCTATACCAATTTTACAAATACAAGCTTTATCAAGAACTGTGTGATTGTCAAGCTTAAACTTACCCATATTTAGCAAAATTGGTTAACATTTTCGTCAGCCAGTCTACGATTTTTTGATCATTTTTGTTAACTCTGAAAGGCAATATTGTTCCCTGGAACGTGTAGAATAAATCATCTCCATGACAAGCTCCTTCCACGTTTTTATATTTAGTACTGGACTTGACATAATTGCGTCCTCCAGAATATGTGAAATAATAACTATACACAGGAGCTTCAATCTTCTTTGCCATTATCTCCGCCTCAAATATTACTGGCATCTCAAAATATGAATGTGTGTATAAATCAGATAGATTCATAATGTTTCTTTCACTTATCGGTGCTCCATTAAAATAATACTTTTTTATTTCACGGTCGCTTTCACTTTCTTCATCTTTAGTTTTAAAAACTAAGTCATCTCCGAACACTGTTTGTTTGTTCTTACTCTCTAATGTTTCTTTTGTATCAACGTTGATGAAGAACAGTCCCTCTTTATCCGTTGAGGAGAGCATTAAAGAAATATTTTTCGGATTTCTAGTCATTAAGTTGTATGGTAAGTCTGTTAGGACTGATTCAACGCCAGGTATATGTTTCTCCACACATGGTAACGGTAAAAGGTAATTTGTTAGAAGCTGTGGTATAGGACTATGTGTTGTTGCCAAAACTATGTCTCTTACTGCTAATTTAGAAAATATTTTGTATATTTCTTTTGGATCTTTTGTGTCATATCCTAATAGAGTCAAAATATTACTTGCTACAGATATGGGGTCGTTGCTTATGGCCCAACTTGCTAAAGATGATCCACTATGCATAATTGCACGTTTGAACAGACCATCAGTGGATTTGCTGGCAACGAGCAATGACACGGATGCTGCACCAGCGCTCGTTCCAAATATGGTAACGTTATCTGGATCTCCACCGAATGCAGCTATATTTTTCTTAACCCAACGTAAAGCTGCTACTTGATCTTTCAGACCGGCATTACCGGGTGCTTCTTCAGTATGTAAACATAGGAAGCCTAATACTCCAAGTCTATAGTTGAATGTCACTAATATCACATTTTGTTTAACTAAAAAATCTGGTCCAATGACCATTTTTCCTCCATTTCCAAGAACGTAAGCACCACCATGAATGTAGACCATCACAGGTAATGGTCCTTGAGCCGTTGCAGGAACATACACGTTGATTTTGAGGCAGTCTTCTGTACCAACTACTTCAATGGGTAAGCCCATTGGATGTTGTGGACACTGGTACATTTCGTCGACAGCCTTGTATACTCCCTCCCATTTTGGTGGAGGTAGTGGTGCCTGTAAATAAATTACGTTGATGTTAGTAAGGACTCAAAATGTGAGAAGTTTGTTATGTTATTCTGATTTGATCAGATCTGTTAAGGCATGCAAAGTTATGCACATGCAAAAAACAGCATGCACTACTTTAAAAACGTGCGACTTACAGAATATATTATAAACCTTCATAATATGTTCAGTGGTGCTACTCCTGAATGTTATAAAATTAGACTACAAATCCAATAACCTTTAATCCCAACTTTTAAATAGGTACTAGCGGTTACTAAATTAACAATTTCTTTTTCACAGTCAATATCAGAAACAAGATGCCAATTACTTTTTCTCGCATTTAAAGTGTGAACATATATGTATTCGATAATAAAATAGTAACGACATGCTCATTATTAAAAGGAATGTTAATTATAAATACTGTTAATGTTAATTATAATTATTTCAAGTGCCGGTTGACTATCAAAGGTAGGCATTATTAAAAGGGGTTTAAGTACAAGCACAGTATAATATTAATAAAAGCACTTAAGATTTAACACCATCCAGTCTGTAAGTATGAATAAATAGAAATACGTACATACATAGATGTATCCAGTACCTACTGATATTTTGCCAGTTACGGTACCAAAATTATTATATTAATTCGGTAATGAGAATGTTGGTGTTTCTGAGAATTGTAGAATATATATAATAATTTTATTATACTAAATTTTTGGATTAGTAACATAAATTAGTAAATTATTTATTGTATGGTTATATTTGTTAAATAGTGGCTAGGGTTTGCTTCATTGTAGAGAACTTCAATTACTTTTTTGGAACAATAAATTAAGAATTGAACTGGTGTAATTTTATCTGAAATCTGAAACAAAAGATACATCGAAATCCAAATAACTATACAAACAAATGAAAATTTATAAAAAAATCGTATCTTATTTGTCTCCAAATCAATAATATGTTGAAGGTACAATTAAATTAAATTATTTCCCAATTAACTATATCATTAACAAAGGTTTACAATTCATAGATAGTACAATTTGTATATTATGTTTATAGAGATAATATTTCTAACAAATAAAACTTTGACCTCCATTGATTACGTTATCAGTACATTTTGTATTAGACTAGTATAGATGTCAATCTATACAAATTTTAGGTCAAATCTTTCCAATAGGATATCAACTTTACTATTGAATTATTAAGTTGAAAATTCAGTGATGAAATGTGTCAAATTAGTGTACGTTGATAAGCTGGTGGTGGTTTTACACACACGGGACCAATAAGTGGTCTTCGTGTACTTCTCAGAAAGTTTATTATTAGATTTTCACCTCTAATCCAAAACTATAAGGTTGAAAATATATTATAGTTTTATTTATAACTTAGTGATCGAATTTATCGTTATCTATCGATATTCGATCTATTGACCCTGGTGGTTTGGGAACTATGGAAAAATATAATAACTCATTACAAATTAATTCCTACTTAATTTCTAATGTCGTAGTATCTGGCCATACTTTTATAGCAAACGTGAGGAACATTGTTATATCAATGTTAATAAAAATTATCATTATGACTGCACGGTTGGCGCAGTAGTTGGGTGAGCTGCTGTGCAACGTGTCGCGGGTTCGATTCCCATGCCGGCCAAAAGTGACAATGTCATTTTCTGAGTAAAATTACCACTAAGCCCAGAGTCAGGAAGTACGGAGGTGAAATACACTTTGGAAAACATGTAAAGCCAGACCTCTCTCCGGTTGTGTCGGTCTGCCGTCCCATCGGGTTCAGAGAGTGAGGGATCACACTTGTGCAATATAATATCACCTGCATATTTGGCTAGTCTAGTTAGACAGACTGGCCGCCATGGTCGAAATCGATCGGGAGATTTATAACATAATAAAAATTATCTTAATGTTTATAGAATTAATTAAAAATATTTTCTTTTTAGTGGTGATTGTAATTGTTATTTTTTATTGTGCTGTACATTGAATGCAAATGAACGCATTAAAACGTTTATCAACCCAATGTTTTATTGTTATTCAGACGTTCTAAACGTAAATGTATTTAAACTTCATTTTGAATAACTAAAAACGACTTCCTTTATGTGAAAAAATAATAAATATTTTTCATTATTGATATCCATGCATATTTTTTGAATGACTGCAAATTACCTCTAGATATAATTTATTTTTGTTATCATCGGGACAAGTTTTATAAAAAAAATATTTAATTAGAATAAGTTAATGTTGAAGAGACTTAAAGTTTTGAGACGCGCGCTTCTCATGATTGAGAGTGCGGGTTCGAAATCTACCAACGGCAAGTACCAACGTGACTTGTCCGAGTTATAATTAAATACTTTCTAACATTATGTAGACACAACTAAAAAACGGTGAAGGAAAATATCGCAAGTTTGAAGTCACCAACCCGCATTGAGCTAGCGTGGTGGTCTTTGGTCAGCAATGGCCAATGTTGATGATGATGATGAGACTTAATGTTGTTTCTTACGTTTGTAACATAACTAACCATTTTTAGTTCAAATTTAAACTCTAGTGTCTAATTATACAACAGTTTCATCTTTTAAAATCATTTACTATGTTAGTATTACGGTATTTGCTGTAAATATTCTTCCACAATCTGTAAGGGTCTGGATTGGGAACGGGCCCCATTTTTAGCTCATCTTCAATGTATAAGAACGTCATATTTTCTTTAGTACTTGGACTCCAGTGAACTGGTAAATCAGTTGTTGCTGGGGTTGGATTACTAAAACAGAAAAAAAATACAAACGAATAATATTAAAAGCAATATTGTGACAACATAATAATATCTACATAATTCACTGGTTAAAGAATTGATTCAGATAGTAAAGTCACTTAACAATTTACCTATGTGTTGATTAGAATGAGACTAAAAACCTAATTGGTATATTGTTATAAAAATATTATCTAAGTACACCACTACCTAACCTACCTACATGACTAATTATTGTGACGTTAAAAAATATTGGTCATTCATCACTTTTTAAACTAAATGGAATTTTAATTTAAACTGTACCCACCCATATCTCGCAAAATTCGTCCATAATCTCGTCATCCAATGAATCATAGTTTGATCTTTCTTACTAATAGCAAACGGCCAAGCGTTGCCTTTAAACAGATACATAAGCTCATCTCCATGGCAAGCTCCTGGTCATCACTGTACCCTGTGATGTACTTGAGGAAGTTTCTTCCTCCAGAATAATTAAAGTAATAGTTATAGATAGGAGTACTGGTTTTGTCTATAACAATTTCAGATTCTAACAAAGTAGGCATTTCAAAATACAAATGTGTATTGAGATCCAACAAAGCATTTTGAGCCTTAAAACTGATGTTTCTTGGTCCAAAATAATATTCTTTAACTGCACTTGAAAGATTCGCAGCTTCGTCTTCTGAGGGAAAATTTAAATCGGTGAAAATATGTATTTTGAATCCCTTTCTTTTAAAGTATCTTCTGTTTCTTCTGGCAATAGAATAACTCCTTCTTTGCTCGTAGTGCCATATATCACAGATATATTGTTTGAATTTTTACTAAATAAATTATAAGGTAAATCAGTCATCACTGCTTCCTCGCCTTCAATCAGTTTTTCAACACACGGATAATGTATCAATTGAAAATCAAAGTACTTTCCTATAGGTTTCTTTGGCTTGCGGCTATCAAATCTCTGTACGGTGTTTTAGATAATATGTCGAACATTATTTTTGGATCCTCAGTGTCATAACCAAGTTCTTTAGCTACAAGACTAGCAGTGAATAACGGTTGTCGATTAACTGCCCAGCTTGAGGTAGAAACGCCACTTTGCAAAATTGCTCGTTTAAACAAACCCTTAGTAGCGTTACTAGCTATTAACATCGACACAGATGTCGCTCCAGCACTTAATCCAAAAAGTGTGACATTATCAGGATCTCCACCAAATGCTGCAATGTTTTTCTTTACCCATCTCAAAGCAGCAATTTGATCCTTCAATCCAGCGTTTCCAGGTGCTTCCTTAATACCCAAACAAATGAATCCTAATGCTCCAAGTCTATAGTTAAATGTGACTAGAATACGTCTTGATGATTAAGAAATCAGGTCCATATAAAAGTTTTCCACCATTTCCAATAATATAAGTTCCACCATGGATGTAAACCATGACGGGTAAGGGCTTTTTAGCTTTCACTGGTACGTAAACATTGATCTTTAGACAGTCTTCCATTCCTATCACTCCTAACATAGAAGGTTGTGGACATTGATAATGCTCATCAACTGCTCTATATACTCCCTTCCACGATATAGGAGGTAGTGGAGCCTGGAACGTAAAGATATGACTTTGAAGAATTTATTTAAATTATCTGATTTGTTTACTACAAAGAACAATACTGCAATTTGTAAGTCCTATTAAACTGCCAAGTTGTTTACAAACAATCAAAACTTACCTTGAACCGCGTGCTGCTATTAGTGAAAGCGTAAGGTATTCCAACGTATTCAAAATAAGACCCATCTGCACTGACTTTACCGCTCAAAATTCCTTGTTCAATTATTACTTCGGGCGCTGGCTGGTCCACCAAGTTTATGGCGAATAATGTGAACAAAACTATTCTTTTTCCACTTTTCATATTTGATTACTCACTTTCAAGTTTTAAAACAAACAAGATTGTTTTGTTCAGACTTTGCTCACTAAATATTCATAACGTTGACGTTATTGGTTTCAGATACGATTTTATGAAAATTAGTCTTAGAGAAATACATTAGTAAAATGATAGGTTTTTTGTTTTAATTAACGATCTATTGAAGTTTATTAGTCTATTAGTTCAAAGGTTTTCTATGCGGGTGTTACGCGCCCGGTCCGCGCCCTACTAGTATTTATTATCATCACTATTTTATTACAAAAAGTACTGATAGTGGTTTCAGAGGTCATCTGTTCATGGAATGTACTCGATTAGTTCTTTTTATCGACCTAACAAAACAATGTCTAGACAAGGGAAGAAAGTATAATAATTACATTTTTTTTAAAATTGAGTAAATAAAATATTCAGTTTTTAAAAATCATTTGGTTTAATTTTTTTACGATATTTCTCATAAATATTTTTCCAGAGTTGGTAAGCTTTGGGATTAGGAATCGGACCCATTTTTAATTCTTGATCTATATATAGAAACTTCATAGTGTCTTTAGTACTGGGTTCCCATTTCACTGGCAAATCTTCATTTGGTGTTGGATTTCTGAAAATAAAACATGACTTAGAGTTCTTAGCTAATATTTTCATTATCACTACTATTTTAAAATTAATATTATTGCAAACTTACCCATATTTAGCAAAGTTACTCCACAATTTTGTCATCCAATAAATCATTTTTTGATCATCTTTACTAATAGGGAAAGGCCAGATATTTCCCTTGAACAAGTACAATATCTCATCACTGTGACACGCTCCAGTTTCGTTCTTAAACCCACTTATAAATTTTAGAAAGTTCCTTCCACCTGAGTAGTTAAAGTAATAATTGTACACGTTACTTTCTACATTTCTAATTAAAGCTTCAGATCTAATATAGAAGGTATTTCAAAATATAATTCCGTGTTGAGATCTATTATAGTATCTTGTACTTCAAAGCTAATATTCTTTTCTCCAAAGTAAAATGTTCGTGCCATTCTTGATACATTCGCTGCTTCTTCTTCTGATGAGAATAAAAGATCGGATGCAATCATGTACTTAGCATCTCTTGCCGCTAAAGACTCCTTTGTATCATCAGGTATTAGAAACATCCCTTCTTTACTAGTTGTTCCATATATAACTGGTATGTTCTTAGGGTTACTATCAAAAATATTATACGGGTAATCTGTGACAACGCTTCGACTCCTTCGATTTCTTTCTCCACACACGGGTAGTTTAGTAACTGTGTGTCAAAATACATGCCAAGTGGTTTCTTTGGTCTTGCTTTTATTAACTTTTCGTGTGGGATTTTGGAAAATATTTCATAGATTTCGTTTGGATCTTCAGTATCATAACCTAAGTGTTTAGCTATTAAACTAGCAACCCATCGTGGTTGTCTATTGATTGCCCAACTGGATGTAGAAGCACCACTCTGTACGATTGCTTTTTGAAACAATCCTTCTGTTGCTTTACTAACTAGTAACAGAGACACAGACGTTGCTCCAGCACTTTGCCCAAAAACTGTGACATTATCGGGATCTCCGCCAAACGCACGAATATTTTTCTTTACCCACCTTAGAGCAGCTATTTGGTCCTTTATACCTGCATTACCAGGAGCTTCTTTGATGCCTAAGCAAAGAAACCCTAATGCTCCTAGTCTATAGTTAAATGTTACTAAGATTACGTCTTCTTTGACTAGAAAATCTGGTGCATAAATGAACTTTCCTCCACTTCCAAGTAGAAATGCACCTCCATGAATGTATACCATGACTGGAAGGGGTTTTTTGGCTAAAGCTGGTACATAGACGTTGATTTTCAAACAGTCTTGGGTTCCAACAACGATACCAAATAATGACGTTTGTGGACATTGATATATTTCATCCACTGCTTTGTATATTCCTTCCCACGATGGTGGTGGATGTGGAGCCTAAAAAGAAAACTGCGATGGAAACACAACCTTAACATCCTAGAAATTGTAACTATTATTCCTACTAAATAATTGTAAGACAAGGTTTATCGATATTTGTCATACGATTTTTATAATGGTTGTCTAGTTTATGTTAATTTTTCGAATGATGCAAGATATAGATTTATAACAATATCTATGAAATGTTCATACCAGGCACCGTGTAATGAACCCTGTTATAATGATGGCGTTGCATAAGAAATGGGCAGTCGAATGCAGTTGATTGCATGCAGAATGAGAAATATGAGAATAGACTAGATTATTAGTAGGTATTTGTAAAGTGGAAGTATAATACAATACAAGGTAATAATCATGTACTGTGTGGCCTCGAAGTGCTTAGTAATGATGACATTACAATTTTATCTATCTGTAACTACTTCATTTATCATACAATGTGTGGTCTTATCTTTGAGAAATTAGTAATTTACAAGTGGGTATTGATTGATTGCTATTCATGAGATTAAAATTTCAATAAGTAACTTCATACTTCATCTACTTGGTTTTATCAAGTACCTGTATATTTGTATTTTAAGTCTATCAGTATTTTTACGACGCCTAAAATCCTAATAAATAATTTTATCGACACACTCACCTTGAACCTCGTAGTACTATTAGTACTAGCGTAGGGAATACCTATGTATTCGAAAAACGATCCATCGGTGCTTATTTTACCGCTTAAAGTCCCTTGCTCAATAGAAACTTCGGGAGCTGGTTGGTCCACTAGGTTCATCGCGAAGAGCGTAAATAAAACTACTTTTTTACCACACTTCATTTTTAAAACCGTCTTTAAGTCTATAAGAATAAAGTTCAATTTCCTTTGCTCACTTCACTGGAATATTCGTTAGAGGTTATGTCATAGTCGCATACAGTTAACACGGTAAAAATACATCAATAAATACTACTTTACATGACTTTTCGAAACTACATTAATAATAAATATCACTTTAGAGGTATAATTATTACTTCATTTTATAACTTTGTTAGAAGGAGTGCTAACAACAATCGGGTTGAAGTGTTTATCTTATTTGACAGTTTACCGGACGGCCTTGTTGTGCGAGGCGCGGCGCGCACGCGCGGTACCACTTCACTGACACATGATTATGTCATGTGCTAGAGTGAGATAGCGATACCCGGATGAACGTGGAACGCAACTATGTAAGTAGATGAAAGTAATCGTAGATTTATTAATTGTTACAATTATTGTATTTATGAGAGAAATTTTGATTATTCTCAAAGTTACCTTAATAATTTAAAAATGTATCCATATCTATATATATAAAAGAAAGTCGTGTTAGTTACACTATTTATAACTCAAGAATGGCTAAATCGATTTGGATGTAAATTGGCCAGCCAATTAGCTTAGAGCCAGAAGACCGACATAGGATACTTTTTGACCAATTTTTTTTTTTACTTTTTACCGAAAATCAAGAACGGGAACGGGAAATATCGGGATTGCGCGTACGAAATCGCGGACAGAAGCTAGTTTCCTATATTTACGAGTTATTAGATAATTGTGTACGACAAATTGGTAAATTACTTTGTGCCACTTATTTTGTCCCGTCCTTGCAAGTTGTTGCTCTGTTAGTTTTATGCTTAGTTACAAAATGAGTGTTTAGTGGTTATAATGACGTAGGTGCAGCTCCTGTGATTAAGCTTCAAAGTTTGATTTAGAAAATGCATTGTTAATTCTTCGATGTTTTCAATTTCAAGTTCCAAATTATGACCAACATTTGGCAAATTAATATCCGTCTCATATTACATTGATAATATCAATATGATCATCATTCTATATTCATTCACTAGCTTCTGCCAGCGACTTCGCTCGCGTTTCTAGGGATAAAAAGTGTGTGTTACTTCAGAACAGAATCTACCTCTGTACGAAATTTCACCCCGGTCCCTTCAGCCGTTTTGATGTGACTAATTAACAAACATACACATAAACTCACCTATTTTTACATTTATAATATCGATTCAAGCTAATTGAACCATCGGCCCTACTGTAGTTACAGCGTAACTCCACTGCAGACGTTAGTAATAATCATACAAAATGATAAGTAAATCCATGCACTACTACTACTAAATACTACTTTTTGAGATCATCCCGGACATATATACAGACAAACAAACAGACAAAAATGTTAAAAACCATATTTTTGGGCACAGTATCGACTGTAGATCACGCCCCAAGTACTTTTAAATGAATATTAAAAAAAACATTTAAAGTACAATTTTGACTTATCTGCGATTTTATTATATGTAATATAGAAGACAGATTAGGTAGCCTAATTGTAAGTGAGTTTTATAAATTTAAGTGTGCACATTCTTAAACAAGTATTTTAATTAAAGAAACAAATCGTATGAGCCTGTTTTATTGCTAAAGATACCTTTGTTTATAAATAGACGACAAATAAATTACTTATTTGAGGAGCATGACATTCAAGGAAATCATTTCAAGTTTATTTACAAGTTGACACAAATTTCGAAATATTAGAGAATTAAGGAGTTAGGAGAGTACGAATTCTATTACTGTTGGGTTCCATCATAAACGAGAACAAATTAATGTTTATAAATAAAGATGTGTTGATCTTCCATTAGTACGTGTATAATGACCGTACAATTTAAATACAAAACGGGTCGTCCTGACGTGCCTAAACAGGCCATTTTCTCGTCGCATCGCATGTCCAAAATTTATTTGAATAAATTACGGAAAAGGCGAAAACTGTTGAATTTTAACCCGATCCCAAACGTGACTGACGAGCGCCGGCGCTGAATTTTAAATATTTTTCCTACACTTAAATTATTATAATACCATTAGGATATAATGACTCAAAGGACTTTTGGAAAGGTCCTCGTCGAGTGTGCTCTCCCGTTATATTTGTTTGGCAAACCATTATTTATTTGTGCGGCTTTACTCACAAACATTTAGGAACTGAGTTTCCCTGAAAAAAGACAATTAAATTACCTTGTATATATAACTTTCAAACTAATTTGGTATCTGTTTCGTATGTCAAACACTTACGTATATACACTTAACTAATATATATTTGTGTATCTGAATTTTGTAAAATTAACGTTGCCTTATTTAAATTTCATTTCAAAAATAAAATTACTATCAGCTATTTATAAATCTCTTTAATGGGTAAAGTGTGTCATTGCATTGTGTTACAAGTTACACTTATAAGAACCCGCTTACATAAGAGTACGTCAATTGATTATTAAGTTATTATGCATATAGGATAAAAATTTCTCACTGCAAAAACGAAAATATGTATCTTGATCAAAATGCTTAGCGGGCAACTTCGCTACCGTATGCGATCCGGTTGGTCGTCATCGGAACACCCTTTTAAAAGAAGTTACAGCTACATCAAAGTAATAACAAGTTATTTGACAAACGAAGAGACCCGCAAAAACTTTTCCATCTCGCGCTTATGAATTCAAAAGTGTTAAATTCTCCAAGTACCGATTGGTAGGGGCAAAATCGATTCCCGATTTGCATCGAAGACGGAACGAGTCGGCTATTACTGATGACTCCGAAACTAATCTTCAAAGATTTCGTAAGGTGCTGCTTGAATTATATTAATGATTCTTCATTACATATTTTTTTGGAATAAATACCAGTTTGCTTTTTTGATAAGACGATGATCCCACGATTATGTGTACATAAGATCTGATAAAGTCTCGTTTGCCGAGTGATCATAAGTGCGACTGCCGGGCAAGGGGTTTCGGGTCCGATTCCCGGGTCTGGCAAAGTATTACTGAGTTTAAAAAAATCCCAGTAGTAGCACGGAATCTGGAGTTGTGCCCGGTATATCGCAACACGTTCACCATCTATTAAATGGGAAAAGTGAGTGTTACATTGTACAGTGACATTAACTGCCGTAATGTGTATCTTTGCCTACCCCTTCGGAGGTAAAATGTTTTAAATGTTTATGTTATTTTAATTACTAGTTCATACTTCTTTTGTTTTCAAATTATCATTAGGTACATCAATATTCTAGTGCATGCTTACCTTCTTATCTACTGTTGACTTGAATTGATATTTCACATAAACAAATACATAATATTTATTGCACTATTATCGTATTTGACCGTCAAATATTTAAGTTTGAACTAGAACAAAGCATTGAATATTGAATCAATCGCTTTGAACGTTCGTATCCAAACAAAAACGCGACTAAAAGCAAATCGTTTATCGATAATGGTGTTACTGCTAGTCTTAGAAAACATAGTACATGTATGGAAGAGTACGGTAATGGGACAAAAACACCAACTAAAGCACGTTGACTGACAAAAAATAGAAGCAAAAGTTCCACACATGCAATCCGCGACCGCTTAAATCAGGCGGGGCATTATTACGCAGGAACAATACAGTCACCGTCCACCACTTCAACACGCGCCGGCCTTTTTGCAGTTTTTACAACCGCCCAAATTTCGTTTCATTTCAACGTTACTGATTTAAAGCTGGGAGCTCAACGTTCGCTTTTATAACATTTGAGTTTTTAGAAACGCCTTTTGTAGCTGCTTTTAGGAATTATGCCAGTTACACACGTGGTATAATTTTATTATTTTATACATATTATCTTGTCATATCGAGTAAAAATAAAAAAAAAAAGGTTTTTTTTATGGGGGGAAAATCATCAAATGACTGCTCCCGCCTGGGTAAGGCGGGAGGGAGTGTCAGACTCTTACTGACTAAAAACCACCCCGTTCCTTCTCCTGCACGTCGACCCGGAGCCCCGGTTACCCGTTAGGTTCAAAATTGTTTATTATTTTGTAAAGATTGAACACATTAAAATAGTTACATTTTTCATTAAGACATGGAAAATATTGTTAACGTAATATCGTATTTATTTACAGTTGTTAAAATCAGTTAAGGGAGAATGACTTATCGTTGTTTTTCTCTCACCACCATCCAGTGTGCACCGTCTCTGCGTCACAGCCTGAACTCTGCACAGTGGCCCACCAAGTGGTAATATTCGCACAATTAAAGCGCACACTAGTCTGCTTTGGATTGTATTTCGTCCACTGTGTATGTGATAGACGAGTTGTAGTCATATAAAGGAACAACAAAACACACATACATACTATGTTTAGAAATAGTTCTGTATCTTTGAACTAGTCACTTGTTGCTGGTCCAAGTTTAGCTACAAGTTTTTATAAAAACACTAATACAATTGTATTGATTATTTATTGACTAAATCTCAAGGATTTTATAATACTTACGAATAGGTAGTTACTCATAGGCTCTTATTGATCTTAGCGAAATGTTCAATTTTTTGGTATAAGTATTTGTACATTAATTAATGGAGAATATAACACAAAAAGAGTTTTTAATAGGAACCACTTATTCTGGAGATTATCGCGTATAACCAAGTAACCAGAAAAATAAGCTCTTCTGCTTTATAACAATTAACTATAGATTTAAACAAATACGAATCTTCACTGAAAAGCACATACATTTTGATATTAATAATATTCAGCGCTAAGCCTTTCGAACCATAACTCTAGTTAAATATGGCAACTGGAGTTTCATAATAACCAAACAATAAATCAACCGTCGGAAAACCTTTAAGAACGCATGACATACTTCAGTTAACCTAAGACAATAATAAATCTAATTCGGGTGACGTCATTTTATCTTGAGGAGACGTTGATAGATCATCGTAGACCAACATAACATTCATTTATAAGCAGCGTTAAAACTCGGATGTTTTTGCTCTTCATTAATAACGAAGTATTGTGAGGATTACAGGATTTGTTCTGGGTTCAGGG